TATCACATGGATTTATCACCGAGAATAAAGGAAGCAACATGACTAGAGGCTTTGCCATTTGCACATAAACTGAATTAACAGACTCCACTGACCAGTCACCAGCAGACACACTGCAAAAGAAGGGATGTGATTGGTCACTGATCGTGCTGTGGGTCTCTTATTTTCATAGTAATTTTGTGGACTGAAAAGCTAGCAGCAAAGTTTGCACTTATGCAATTACTCATAGTTAAATCTGTGGTAACAGATTTAAACTGTTGTGGGGGGTGGGGGTGGGGCGGCTGATGTTATTCAACTAAACCGTGGTGACTGAAATTTGAGCTGTTGCCATGCAAAGCAAGCCCTGTGCTGTACTCACGCCATGCCTGGCATGTCGTTAGCATTGAGTAAGTAGTAAATTGTTTTACTTCTGTCATCATCATCATTATTTTCATTATATTACTACTGTTTCTATTCCTCCTCCTGAGCTACAAGCCACCGAGGTGTCAGCCTCAGAAGGAGGGGCTGGTGCCGGGAGGCAGCAGACAGTCCTGTTTTCAGCCAAGAGTGTAAATCGCCATGTCCAACGGATACCTTAGAATCAGTTGAGGACTCGGGCCAAGGGCTTATTGGCAGAGGTCTGAGAAGGGGCTTGGGGGATGCCAGCAGGTAGGCTGAACTCAACAGCAGACAGCCCGAGCAGGCACTGTTCCCGAGATGAAGGAAGCAGATGGTGTCTGAGAGGCCTGCTCACAGATGGCAGGGCTCTGGCCATGGTCTTTGCTAGAGCTGCGGCCAAGACATGAAGAGGGCGGCTGCAAGAGAGGGCAGAACTCTAGGCCAGGTAGAGCCTCCACCATTCACCAGAACAGGAAATTGGTGCAAGAGCTAAGGAAGAAAAACAGCCTTCTCACGTGGGAGAGAGGGAACCCAGGTGCAAAGAGCAGGATGCGGGAGCAGTTGCTGCAGCTCAGGGGATAGCAGGGGAGAACCCAGAGCAGCTGAGCCCCAGATGAGGAGGTGACCCATCGGCGAGCACCATCAGGCAAAAGAGGGAACTGAGGCTCCTACAGTTGTACTTCCTGCCACACGCATGGGTGATCTTGGAGCCCAGCCCTGGGAGACAGAGGCAATAAACAGAGGCTTGTCACACTGACCCAGTTAGTGATTCACTGCCACCACTGAAGGCATCTTCCTTTCCTTCCAGTCACATTTATCAGCTTTAATCAATTTTATCTAAGACCTTATCTACAAAGTAATACATTCAGCAAGGCAGGCTCATTGGGTAAGAAGAAATGAACATTTGACTTTCAACTAAAAAGAAATAAGCATGGCGTAATAGTAACTCAGATACACATTGTGTTGACTTAGGATACCACAAATTTAAGGTGCTTGTGAAAAGCATATAGATCACATCGGAGTCATTCAAGCATAGAGCTGAAACCTGACCGAAGGGACTTAAGCATGTGAAGGTTTCTTTTCCTCACATAGCAAGATGTTTCTTAGGTAGTTAATTCAGAACCACTTCGGTGACTCCCAACGCCATCAGGGACTTGGGCTCCTCCTGCATTCTTGCTCTGCCCTTTTAACACGCGCAGACTCTGAATCACACGCCAGGAGACCCTCGCCACGCTGGGCAAGGATATTTTCCATTTGCTTATACAGACCTACCCTGCACTCTTGAACTGTTCAGTGTCCTGAGAGGCTGACCTAAAAGGATTACATCACTTGAGCTCCCTCGCCCTCTGACTCTCAGTTGGGTTTGGCCAATGGGAGACACCACCAACAGAAGATTGTAAGGTTTGGGGAATTAGCTCCCCCCACCTCAGTCCCATTTATGGGGGTCAACACAGGGAGCCCTGTCCATGCAGCTGTTTTCTCCCAGCCTTGCTAACCACTCCCTTCCTCGGTCCTGCAGGGCTGGACTTAGCAGTGACTCCCTGCAACGGCTAACCCCAGGCTGTTGCACTATCTCCTAACCATGTTGCCCTAACACAGACTACACCTTTTCAAATAGTGCCTTTTTCAAAGTCTTTACCATTAGCCCTTTGGAGTGAGCCCTGTGTGCCCGGCCAGGACCCTGGCAGACTAACAGCGCAGCTTCTATGCACAGCCGCTGTGACCACGTGCGACAACACAGTGTGGACCTTTTATCCTCAGAGCTGCAAGACGCTACTCCACCTCCAGGCATCAAGGTTTGATTTCAGACAGGAAGAAAGGGCGAAAGGCACCAAACAGCTCTTTGCCAGGAAAATGTAGCTTTCTAGGAAGTCGCAGACAGCTGGCTCTGCTCACATGCCACTCTCGCTGCAGGATGTCTGAGGAAGTGAATATTTTTAACTGGGCACAAGCCTACCCCAATAGATTGTGTTTCTATTTGAAGGGAGGAAGCACAAATGGTTATTAAGTCAGCTACCAGCAGCGTTTGCAGCATCATATAACTCACTTGGACTTTTTTTCTTTAATTTGTAAAGACTTCATTGTCCCACTTCCTTTCCCTAGTTCATACCTTGAGCTTCTTTAGGCAACAATAATGATAACATCCATGTATCGAGCCCTCACTGAGTGCTTTACATGCACGATGCCTTGTAACCCTGGCAAGGGTCCCATGAGACTTTCCTGCTTTATAGATGAGGAAACGGAACTGAGATTTTTAGTAACGTGGACGTATAAGGCTTGCACTAACACCTAGGTCTGTCTGTCTCCAGAGCCCATGTTGGTAGCCACTGCACTTACCAGAGTGGCCCGTCTAGCCTGTGTCTCTTTCTGCTCTCTTCACATCGTCCCCGGGGAAGAATCTATACATACCATGTGGAAATCTAGGTCATGGATAACAAGCCTCTTCTATCCTGAGAACATGGCCCAGCCGAAATAAAGGAGGAAGAATCTGGAGGTGGAGATAGTAGCAAGACAGGGAGAAAGTGTACAAAGAGCAGCGACCGGAGAGATTTGGGTCCACGTGGAAGCTAAGAAGAGCAAGCGGGTCTATGAAAACAACATTATTGTTTCGCTCCTGAGTCCCCCTGTTGGCTGCTTTGGTTGTCATACTCTCTGAACCTCCTTACTCACCAGCTCTTACAGGGTCAGGCATTCTGCTAGGTGGATGAGAGTTGCAAAGGAGGAGAAAACACGGTCTTTGGAGGAAACTGGAATGGGCAGGAATCCACTTGGAGTGCTTCCCATCACGATGCCTTGGGACATGTCCGAGGGACATGGTCTCCTGCTTCTCCTGACAGCTCTTCACTCTGGAAGGGCAGTGGCAAGCCCTGGGGTAGAAGATGTATTTTTTACGCATGTGGGTGCAATGAAGACTGGAGCAAGTGTACTTGGAGCACAGTACCCTGTGCTGCCACTGAATTTTCTGACTTCCCACAAGGATCAATGTGTAAAAAAAAAAAAAATTTTATTTTTTTGCTGCAACCAGAGATAAATATCTTATAGCCATGTCGTTAGCTAAAACATTGAGTGGAGTTGTGGTTTAAACCAGAGTACACCTTGCTGGGAGTTTAGAAGGAAGAGGAATAACAAAACTTCAAGCCTGCTCCAAAAAAAAACTGACATTCTTGCTGGACTGGGTGAGGGCTTTGGGGAACTCCACCAGGACTGCCAGTCATTCTGTATAAATAGTGACTTGGTGCTGAAGGATGACCAAGTGAAGAATGCAATAACTGTAGATTCATTTTAACCCTAGAGTTGCAACCCAAAAATCCTAGTATCTGAAACATGCCTCAAGGAAGAAAGAGTTGAGAAGAGCTGAACAGGAATTCTGGTCCTGGTCTCGTCACTGACTTGCTTGGGGAACTTGGACTTTAACTTGCTCAAAGCCTTCGTTTGCTCATCTGTAAATTGGAGCGAATGACATCTGCTCAACGTACCTAACATGAATGTTGTGAGAATAAAATGAAATAGAAGATATGAAAATGCTTTGTCAATGTTGAAAGTTCTATACAAACGGAAGCTACTCAGGATAAGCCTGCTCTCCAAGTTCAAGTCTAAAAACCTCCACTAAATCCTTATTCTTTCAATTACTGTTCCATATAGTAGCCACTAGCCACATTGGCTACTGAGTACTTAAAATGTAACTAGAGCAATTGAGGAAATGAATTTTAAATTTTACTTTGTTTTAATTAACTTAAATCGAAAAACATGCTCAACTCAGTGATTGGAAAACTTGTACATTAGAACAACCTGGGTATGTGACTCTTTAAACTGTACATTTTATGAAATCTTAATACATATCGATTGTTTCTGATGAAATTTAGAGTTTAAATTGAGGTGTGCTACCTGTGTAAAATACACACCAAATTTCAAAGACTTAGTACCAAAAAAAAAGTAAAATGTTTGGTTAATTTTTAATGTGTCGAAATGATAATATCTTGTACACATTGGGTTCAATAAAATATATCATTAAAATTAATTTTGCCTCTGTACTTTTCTTAATGTGACTACTAGAGAATTTAAGTTTCTAATGTGGCTTGCATTATATTTTTACTAGGCAACACCACTTTAGGAGGCAGTGAGCAGGGGGGATCCTCATTTGCTTATAAGAACGAGGGAGAGAGGTCACTGCAGACATAAATTCCATGATCCCAGGCAAACTGGCATCCTTTCCTGGGTTTCTGAGAATCAATGGCAGAAACACAGAGCAGCACAGAACCGGGTGGGGTTGACTCCTCGCCTGATTCCTTCCCATGTTCAGGCACAAACACACTGTCTTGAAACTTCTGTCACTGTCATTCCCTTGGTAGAATGAGACCACAGCTGCTCTCTGGGCTTTGAGTTGGAGACAACAGCATTTTAATCACTAGGAGACTTCAGGAGAAGCTAGTGCCTGTGAAGATATTCTTAAAATCAGTATGAACTTTATTTTCCACTTCTGCTCTTTCCAAGTTTACTTTAGACCCAACATGTGGTAGTAATGCACCCACCAAGCATTTGCTTTTCCTCAGTCTCAAATCTTTTCCTCCAGAGCAGCCTTGTTTTCGAGATGATTTGCACGCAGACTGCTGGACTAGGATGTCACGGGAAGTCTGGCCCATCCGAGCGGGCCTTGCCCAGCACATCTGGAAGTGGTTTCAGGGACGGCCCCCCTCCGCCAGTGCAAGGCCTGCCCGGATTCCCAGCTGCTTCCCCCAGGGGTGGAAGAAACCGGAGCTGCTCCAAAGTCAACGCAAGCAAAGGGGGATGTGGGTGGGGGAGGAATACTCGCTTGGAAACGTCATATTGGCCCTGGGCTCTCCAGCTCTTTGGATTTTCCAATGGGATCTTAGAAGCAGCAACAGCATCGTGAAGGGCAGCCGCCCGCGGCCAGCCACCATTTGAACGCCCTGCTCTGCAGCTGTCCTGGAAGGAGGAGCCCAAAGCCTTGCCCTCACCGTTTTACCAGGTAAACAGAAATTTACGAACAGTGCCGTGTGGCAGCCTTTCCATTTTACTCTGTAGCAGCCTTTTATTTTGGTATAGATTCAAGAAAGTAAGTCGGGTAGACTGTCTCACACAAACTTTTGCCGTCAGGAGCCCCAGCCAATGTTTGTAGGGTTCCAACGGAATTTTTTTTTTTTCGGCGCCGTTTTTGCAAAGCCAGGACACTCAATGTGCAAGTTTTTCATGTCCTATATTTCTTTTCCAGACCTGGGTTTATCCCCCACCCACCCCAAATGGTGCGATTTACTATTTGCATCATATTTTAAGCATGGAAATCAGTGGTTAGGTAGGACGCAGATAAACGTTAGTCTAGCATTTAATGCAGGTATATTCCTGAGCCACAAAAGATTTAATTGATCTGTGATTTACGTTTTTGGGATCTGTCCTACGAAGCGGTTTTGAGGGCCCCAACCCCCACCCCCACCCCCACCCACCCACACACACACCAAAAAACTGGCAAGTGTGAAAATCTAAATGAGGCTGTTTGTAAATACAGAATTATGGCCAGGACAACAGCAGAGTCATAGAGTTTGGATTGAAAATGCTTTTTAACATTCAGCAAATGTTTATGTTCACTTTACGAGCAAGTGTAACACATTGGAAAGCCTGACATACCCTGATATGTAACTTCTGACATAAGAAAGGATAGTTAATACAAGAGTAAAATGAGAGAGAGAGAGGAAGAAAATAGTATGATATCTAAACATCTGGCTCTGCTGTGGGGAAAACATCGGCCCTCTTAGCTGCTTGGCCCTGTGCAGCTAAGGACCCAGTGACATTGGTTGGTTGGTTTTGTTTTTTCCTCCAAATGTTTTGGTGTTACATTTCTTACAGCATCCTCTTTGTGTTATGTAATGAAATGCCAGCCTTCCATCTAATGCAGTTAGAAGTAGAGTGGTGTGGTGCAGTGGTGAGAACATGGGCTCTGGGGTCAGACTCCCAGAGTTGAATCTACACCCTACCACTTATAAGCTTTGACCCTGGGGGAGTTAACTTGTCTGTGACTCTGTTTCCTTGTCTGTAAAATGGGAATTAAGTGAAATCATATGTCTAAAGGATCTGTGCAGTAATGAGTCTGCTCAGGGAAGCTGAGCTCCTCTGGTGGTGCCAATGACGGAGACGGTGATGATGAAAGTGACCACATATCCTTCAGGGGGCAGCAGCCTTGCTTTTGCCACCTCGTTCCCTCTGATAGTCCTGTCATCCAGGTGTCCCTCCTGTCCTCACGTGTTGTCTGTCCAGGCCCCTGATTTCTTCCTTCCTCCCTTCAAAAAAGCTCTCTGCTTTTTCACTCTAGCTTCCTTTATTTCTTCTTTGTTCCCCCTCTTTCCTTGCTGAGAGAACGACATGCTGATTAAGCCATAGCCCTCATAGTTTTGATTTCTAGTTCCCAGGGGCATGATTCTAAAGGCTTCTTTCTGTTCAGCATTTGCCAAAGGCTGTTCTGAAAAGAGTGTCCCATGGGGAAAATGAGCTTTGTGAGCCATACCACCCTCTCAGAAATCTCAAGGCATAATGGCATTTGAAAGGTCCTGAGAAGTCCCACAGCAGAGAAATCTGCTTAAAGTTGTTTAGCACAGCGGTTCCAGGTCGACCCCTGAACCATGTTATCACATCACATGGATTAACAATTCTTGGAGCACACCCTGCAATATCCTATTCTGCCCACATCTGTTTCCATTTTGGTCCCTCTTATGGACATCCTACTTTGTAACCCCCCTGGTAAATACCCATGAGACATCTTGTTCTTTCTTCCCTAGTCAAGGACGTAAGATTGATCATGTGTGCCATGTTGATATCTAGAAAATCTGGCCCAAAGTAAAGAGTAGCAATCATCAAACTTGTCCTGCAAAGGGCCAGATAGGTGATTTTGCAGGCCATATGGCCTCTGTTGCAACTACTCAGACCTGCTGTTATAGAGTATAAACAGCCATAGGCAAAACATCAAAGAATATATCTGGCTGTGTTCCAACCAAGCTTTATTTACAAAAGCCAGTGACAGCAGGATTTGGCCCAGGGGCTGTCGTTTGCTGACACCTGGTCTAAAGCCATTTTGTGAAAGAATGCCTCATTCCCACAACAGGAGAAAGCAGCCTGGGTCCTCCAGGCACTGAAAACTCCCTCACCTGGCTTCCTGTCCTGCGTATTTTAATGGATCTTGAGTGAGCCTTTCATGCTACAGCAAAAGTGAAAAGGCCCAAGTGTTTTGTTAGAGGCCACATTTCTGGGTTCTGATTTTGTCTTTCTTTCTCCTTCTTTAGGTGAACCCTTTGTCTTGTCATGTTCGTGACTCTGTCGCTTGCCTGGTTTGAGATGAAGTTAAATGTTAAATGTGTTAAATGTGTTTTACGCATGTGCGAGCTTTAGGGTGCAAGCCTTACGGAGTTAAATTAAATCACAGAGCTTATGTCCATTGCTGGACGCATAATGACAAGTCGGCAATGGAAAGCGGTTGGCTTCTAGTGGCTATTAAGGTGGTGAAGAAGGCAAACTCAGAGCCAGGCTGCCTGGTGTGAATGCTGGCTCTGCCACTCATGAGTTGTGTCACCCTCGGCAGGTCCTTAACCTATCCGAACTTCAGTTTTCTCATTGGTGAACTGGGGATAATAACCTGATAGGATTGTTGTGAAGTGTGTGTGTGTGTGTGTGTGTATGTGTGTGTGTGTGTGTGTGGTTAGAGCCATGCCTGACACATAGAAACTGCTATGTAAGTGTTACCTATAATTATAGGTTATTTATTTAATCTGCAGAGCAGGCCCATTTTACAGATTGGGTTTTGTAAATCGCCCAAGATTATACAGCTAAGAAATGGGGCAGAACCGGATTCAAAGTCAGCTCTGTGTAGTAACAAAGCCCGTGATATTTCCACTCAGGTACATGCCCTGCCAGATTTAAGTCATTCAACAATACTTTTTAGGAGCCCCCTCTTTTAACTTCCCCTTTGAATCCCAGGTCCTTCCCAATTCCTTCCTACCCGAACCCATGGCAGACATGATTCATCAATCACGACAGGTTGGTTTGTTTTTTCACCTAGTCCGCTGATGGCTTTAGATTCCTTCTCAATTTAGCACTACTGAAACTTCTACCAACTGATTCGAGTTGGCATATAGAATAAAACTTACCAGGGGCTCTGATTTGGGGACTATTTTTCTCAAGAGTCCTTTGTACTCCCACCTTCTAAGACAAAGCTAATCCCTTGGCCACTTCCAAGTCTTAACACATTTTCCCCAGGTTTGGCTACAAGCCCAAACTCTTTTTTTTCACCTGGTAAAATAGCTCCTCAGGCAAGGTCTCCAAGGGCCGGTTTTTAAACATAACAGTCTCTTGTCAGGTCCAGATCAATTTCCTAAGTTCCCCTTTTCTTCCTAGTCACAGACCCTAGGACCTCAGCTTTCTTTTCTCCCCTCTTGGAAGCTGCCACCATCCCCTGCCTTGCCTAGGGAATTCCTCTGTCCAGCACTGGGTGTGCGGTGACTCCCCAGCTCCATCCTTTTTTTTTTTTCCAGTTCCAGTTGACATTCAATCTTATTTAGTTTCAGGTGTACAGCATAGTGGTTAGACATTTATATAATTTATGCCGTGATCCCCCTTATTAGTCTAGTGCCCACCTGGCACCAAACTATATTGAAAACAAGCCTATGGGCTCGTAAATGCTAAAGGCTTGACTATTTATGACTACATGGAAACCATAACACGAAGTCACTCAGCCTAGGAAAGTTTACAAAGGTTCTGAGACACGGCTCTGGGGCTCCTTGTTGTGATGCCAAGAGAAAGGCAGGTAAGAAGATGAGAGCCCTCTGCTTTTATTCCTAGAACGGGACCATTGGCAATTCCCCTCCTTCTGGCTTTCTTTCCTAGTAAAGGCCTGCTGACTCCTTTCTTCCCGAGATGGAAGGACAGAAGAAGAGCCTCTTTCCCTTCTTTCCTCTCTCCTGTTTCTCACTCATTCATCCCACACACATTTATTGAGACACACAGAAGTGAGTAAGCCACAGTCCCTCTCTTCATTCCTCTCGTGATCTACTGGAAGAGAGCCACGGGCCCATAATATTAGAACACAGTGTTCTAAGTACAGGGATAGGAATAGGAACAGAGATCGGGGGGCACTCAGGTAGAGTAATCAGGGAAGGCTTCCTGAAGGAGGCAATGCCTGAATTGAGTCTTTAAAGGAAAAGTAACAACTTACTGGGGGGAAATGAGGGGACAGGGCATTTCAGACAGAGGGGACAGAGGCAAGAAAAGCATAGATTTGGTGTGGAGGACAGTGGAGAGGTTTGGAGACTAAACTTCAAGCAGTTCAGTTGGACAGAAAGGGTGGCATGGAAGATCTACAGGCATCTTAGGTTCTAACCTTAACCTTTCGGTAGCGGGTTTCCAGTGAAGGGCTTTAGGCGAGAAAGGACACTCAGGGTTGTGTTTTAAATCAGTCAGTAGGATTCTACAAGTGAACTGGCTTGTCTTTGTCAAAAAACGTAGGTCATGAAAAACAAAAAGGCGGTGTGGGGTGGGATGGGCCTGATCAAAAGTAAAAGAAACTAAAGATACGGCAATCAAACTATAAAAGGTGGTATTGGAACAATGGGAGAAATTTGATTATGGACTGCTTATCTGATGTTGTTAAATTCATGTTTTTTTCTAGGTATGATAATGACATTGTGGTTATATAGGAGAATGTCCTTGTTCTTAAGAGATGCATGCTGAAGTATTAGGGGGTGAAGTGTCATGATGACATACAGAGAGGGTTCCCAAAAAAAGTATAACATTTTAAGAAAGGAAAATTGTATTAAAGTTGTAATACTCAATATATACTGATAACAAAAGATGAACACAAGTCACGTTTGACTTCTGCAATTACAAGAGGTGCTCAAAGTGGTTACCATCAGCATCCAGACACTTCTGATTACGGTGAACTACTGCTTGAGCAACACTGACCAAAGTGTCCACTTGTGTACATTTTTTTGG